TATTTGTTCGATTTTAGCTTAACGGGGTGTGCGATAGACCTACCTCCACGTGGTGCACCCTGGGCAACGTATACTCATACGGCAAAAAAGTCTATTAACTGGCAGTTGACTTCTGACTTCAAACTACCCTCACCCCATTGTATGTCATATTCGAATACTTCCACAGTACTCACCTCACCTTTTTCCCCTTTTGTGTCTGTCTCTTTTACATCTTTGAAACTCTCTTCTGTTTCCCCTCTCCCTCTCGACTTGTTTCACTTTGATGTTCCTCCTCCTCTGTGAAGCCTGAAGTCAACTAAAGGGCTAGTGATAACTTTCACAACGTCTGCCATTTGATATAAATAGATTTTAGCTTACCACTAAAAGACATCCTGTCTTCTTCTCAAATATTCATGCTATAAAGTTATGTAATATTTTCTGAGACGAATCCTACTGTTCAGCCTTATAAGTAAAAGGTCTTTAGAGCGATCTAATTTTTGGATAGCGGCGTAGGTCTTTAGAACTATGTGCTTATGCGCACGCCAGTTACAAACTCCATTCGGGTCCAAAGAATTTGAATTGCCTCCCTCCACATATAGGAATACGATTTGAGAGAGAGAGAACTTCCACAGTGATTAATGAAGCTGCATTTGCAAATCATATTTAAGGGTTTAAAGAGCTCGAGAATGGAGACTTCGAAAGTGTGACTCGTACCTTGCAGACGACACTGATGGTGTGCACGTTGGGTCCTTGTCTCATAAGTTCAGTGGGGTTAAATGGCAAAACGAAGAGGGGCGAGGAGTTTGAGGAGGAAAGGACGTTGACGGCTGGTTTCGCCTCACCCAAATACACGTTGTCAACTGTCACCGAAACTCGAGTTATTGGGCTGTTCGACCAGGCGAGAACACTGCAATCGAAAAGGCGACTCAAAAGTGCTCAAAAGAACAAAAAAAAATTGTCGTGCAACTTTGGGCGCATCACCTTCGTAGAAGTCCAAAGGACTTTCAGTTGGAGCATGGCTCGAACTGTCCCGTTGGAGTTTACTGAGCATAAACATCTTGATATCGATGAGCCACCAATTGCCAAACCACGAAAATCAATTCTTTCAGGTAATGGGAAAAGGAACAAGAGAGAAGCTCTTAGCTCAAGTACGCCAAAGCATTCATGATGCATGTGTCCCATCCACGCGGATGGAACTCTGCTCCTGAGGATTATTTAAATCTGATTTAGCCTAAACGACTTCTCCAATGCGTTCCTCATGTGTAATACGCGACAGTTGTTATTGACCAAATTGAGGAGGGGTGNTGGGGCAAGCCCTACTTCCTGCTCCACACGATAACTGACATCATCACAGCAGTAAGAGGAGAATGTTGCGAATACTAATGACTAACTTCTTTCTCTTAGATTTTGGCCGCAATAACATCCATATACGGCGTATACGGCCTTGTTAATTCTGATAGCAATGACAAATTACTCCTCATTTATGAAGTATTGATTGGTTTTGGCATTCTTGCATCGATCACGTTCTCATTGAGCCTTATCCTCTTACACGTTCCAAACTACGTCCTCTCTGCCATTGTAAGTACCTCTAATTCGTCAATTTACTCCTCTTAGAACATTTGTCTGATTACCCTGCTAATGATTGCGGCGATTGTGCTTGGAATCCTGGTGGTGGCAAAAATCGATCAGCTCGCAATTGGCATCAGCATGATCGCCTTGGGCGTAGTTGCGTTGGCACTACTTGCTGGAGTACTATTCATATTCTGGTCGCATTCTGATACCGCATTGGCCTGAAGACATTCACACAGCACAATTTGTTATTCTCCATGAAATATTCATTAAAATCTTTGCAAATGAAAGTGGTTATCGATTCTTAATAAAAATTGAATGACGTTTTCCCTTAATTGTAAAATTTAAACTTCTCCTTTCTTTGAAACACTCCGTTGGTTATTGGCAAAGTTCTTACTCAACCACATAAAATTCTTCGATCCTATTTAACCGAGTTGGCAATGCCTATAATGCATTTAGAATCATTTCAAGTTGAGCTAAATGCATTCAAGCCGAATTCCATGTTAAATAATAATTGCAGTGAGAATTACCAATGTTGTAGCATTAAATATATTCAATTGACAACTATTTGGTAGAAATGGCATAAAATGAAGGTCTGTGAGATGGTTAAAGTAGTCAATGTTGTCACACCAATTGATTTTCATCTAGCACTTGTATTCGTACGCTTTTGTCAGTGAATACAATTGGTTCACCAATTTTGGGCGAGCAACTACGTCTTAGACTTAGATCAATTTAAACTAGAATTATGCTCCAACATGATTTGGACCATTTCGCAAAATGAAATAGTACCAGTCACAGGGGCTATAAAATACCCCCCAATTAACCCGCAAATAAACCCTCAGTACCTTCATTACTTGCCTGTTATTGGTCCACCCACACTCTCATTATTCCCATGGTTACCATAGACGAAAAAGATGTGAAATCGTGTAACCACCTCTATGCATCTCACTCCACTTGCTTCGCACTACACCGATTGTGTATTCTGTCGATGTTTCCCAGCTTTGATTTCTGAAAATTGCCCCCAGATCACATCTTCTAACTTCGTCTTGGAATTAGTTGAGAGGACATTTTAAAAGTTATTTATTAATTGCTCTACTGAGGTGTGCGATAGACTCAACTCCACGTGGTGCTCCCTGGGCAACGTATACTCAGACAGCAAAAAAGTCTATTATTGGGCAGTTGACTTCAGACCTCAAACTGCCATCGNCCCCCCCCCCCCTGTGAAGTCCCAAGTGAGCTTTATGGCTAATGATAACCATCAAAACGCCTGCAATTTGAAATTAATAAATTACACTACTAAATTTTTATCAGTAAATGAGCGTTTCGTTGAAAATATGTGATGTGAAATTAGTTTCTTGCCTATTTACTCTTGCAAAGTGAATATGTCTTCTAAACTCTTTGTTATTTAATTATTCCACTCTTTCATCACACAGCAAACTAGAACACATAAACTATCAATGCATTTCTGAATTAAGTCTTAATAAAATAACCTCAATCAACAGTACTGCAATTATAATAAGTATTATTCTACGATGAGTCATAAACCATCTATGCAAATTGAACCATAGGCTCGACTTTAGATGCCGACTTTCTCTAGGATGAACAGAAGTGCGCAGACTTGCCACTTTCCTTTCCAGGGGAAGGAGAAAAATGCCCCAATTGATGGTCAAACCACACACATTTTGATGAATCGTCCTATACGTTTGTAAGTCCCGAGTTAATGCTTTCCTCCTGGAACGAGGTAACAAATTATGACCAAAATCATCGCCATCACCACTATCACCGTCGTTGTCATATAGCTACGTCAGAATGTGAAAGAATGGAATAGATGAAAGTGAAAGAAAGGTTTAGAATTTGAACTCATGCAGCAAATTTGATAAGGCAGTGGTGTCACCTTCACATTAATTAATTACTATTTATATCAAATGGCAGGCGTTTTGATAGTTATCAATAGCCCTGGAGCTGATTTCGGGGCNCGCCTCACCCAAATACACGTTGTCAACTGTCACCGAAACTCGAGTTATTGGGCTGTTCGACCAGGCGAGAACACTGCAATCGAAAAGGCGACTCAAAAGTGCTCAAAAGAACAAAAAAAAATTGTCGTGCAACTTTGGGCGCATCACCTTCGTAGAAGTCCAAAGGACTTTCAGTTGGAGCATGGCTCGAACTGTCCCGTTGGAGTTTACTGAGCATAAACATCTTGATATCGATGAGCCACCAATTGCCAAACCACGAAAATCAATTCTTTCAGGTAATGGGAAAAGGAACAAGAGAGAAGCTCTTAGCTCAAGTACGCCAAAGCATTCATGATGCATGTGTCCCATCCACGCGGATGGAACTCTGCTCCTGAGGATTATTTAAATCTGATTTAGCCTAAACGACTTCTCCAATGCGTTCCTCATGTGTAATACGCGACAGTTGTTATTGACCAAATTGAGGAGGGGTGGGGGGGGGGGGCGGGGTTAACCAATAAAAATGTGTTAAGGTAATTAAATTTTGCTATACAATTGCAGCGAGCTCTTCCGATGTGAAAATTGCATCAAACATGCTAAGATGGAATTAGTAATATGAACAGAATAAAGCAAGTTAGATGTGTTCTGTGAGGTCGAATACAGAAAATTCATATGCCGTTACCGCCCACGTTTATGCTTTATCCATGACTTCAACATCATCGAGTGACCCCTGTCTGTTTATTTCCCTTGGTAGAATCTCCCAAAAGCGGTCCTTCACTTCAATCCACAGCGCATATGATCTCAATCCCTTCTACTTCCACATGTGGATACATTGGAGGCTCAAAAATAAGGCCTTAGCAATCCCACACTCCAAATTCCAAGTTTAAGAGCAAGAAATTATTGGTTGGTGGTAGTTTTACATCACGACAAGTTAAACTTGGATTACACCCAGTCTCTGCTGATAACGAATTACCCTAAAGCAGGAGGAGGAGGAGGAGGAGGAGTAACGTGAGCCCATGCCCCAAAAGGGCGGAACTTACCGTATGTGCGTGGAAGTGCGAATACGACCGGTTGGCTCCTTATTTGGCAGGAGGAAGGCGGCGTCCTTGGGATTGGTGATGAGCACAATTGGCCAGTCTTGTCTCTCGTCTTCATGCAGTTGACTGTCCACAAACGATACCAGGTCATTGTCAACTGCTACTATGCGAAAGCTGAAAAAAGAAGGAAAGCTTTGGAAACTTATGCAATAGCATCTAAAGGCGTAGAGTTAATTATAAATATTCCAGGCGTTTTTTCCCATTTGTTTCAACAAACAAAGCTCAGTTAAATCATTCAAGAGAGTGCATCAGTCTCCGAATGAAACTCCCTCCCCCACCCAACTACAAGGAAATACAAGAACTTGCACATGTGGGTAATTTTGCGTCTAGGTAACATGAGAGATAAGAGGAGGGAGGCTAATGATTTCGATTACGAAGCAACTATGCCAAAGAAGCTGGGGTTTCAATCTGTGCTACGCATTTTGAGCATGGTCATGTGTTGCATTCGACGGAATTTTGTATTTAACAAGCCAGCTAGGAATAAACCCATTCCAATAATTGAAGATATTTCTTTTTAACTTACCTCACAATTGACTAATTAATTGGATATTACGGAAATCAAATTTAGACAACTACATGAATTAGCTCGGCAGCATTGATTGACATTTTTACACAGATCTGATTCCAACATCCACAGACTTCATGTCTAGGAGAAAAAATGTTTTCCTATGTGCCTAGTCTCGACCAACAAGTTGCTTTTGAAGAAAGAGTAAGACGAAGGCACTCCAGCTTATTACACATGAAAAATAAGTGATAGCACGTGAGATCAAATTTTGCGCGCATTTTCATCATTAGAGACTTGATAATTAATTAGCATCAAACAACAAATGAATGACTTAATGGAGGGGGTACCCTTCAAAATGAGAGAGAAAAAGGTAAAGAGAGAAATGCAAGGGGGTACTCACAATCGACCATCACGCCAGTCGGACAATTCGAGTTCCAGAAAGCCCTGAGGTTGGACGGTGTACATCGCTGGAACCAAATTTAACAGAGTGTGCAGATGACCACAGAGATAGCAATACGCGGTCTCACTAAAAGAAACAAAGGGCGAATACATGTAAATAACACCCCCTTCCACCCTCGATCACGGCAAGCAAACAGAAAGGAAAACCGAAAGATGAACGAGCAACTAATAAACTTCTTAGTCCAGTAGATGGATGCCACAAGAGTTATGTAATAAAATGGAATTTAAACCACATGAGAATTTGTCACCTGGATATTTTTTCAGACGAGGAGGAATATAATGAAGAAATGACACGTGCACATAACTTCAACTTGAAGCAGCATTTGACAGAATAATTCGGTAGCTTAGAAGAGAAATATAGATTCCCTATTTTCATGGACTCACATCCGCTGGCAAACATGCAATTCCCCCACCCCCACCCCACCCGCAAAAGGCAAGCAAATGTCCTCTCTATAAATAAACATTCACCCCACGATGAAGAATTCTTGGCACTAACTAGTGTTTCAGTGGACCGATGTCGGTCCTCAATTGGGAGCATTGAAGTGATGTTCCAGCTAAGGAAATAAAGTTAGGGAAAATGTGGAGAATTAAATCACTGCCAACATTCTCATGCTCTCTTTCGGCTCAATCACATGCGCGTCATGAAATTCGAGATTGCTCAAAAGAAATCGAAATCTTGCATCTCGATGGAGTTAAAAACAGGACGTTTTAATAAGAAGAACAACAAAAAGCGAAACAAAATGAACCATAAGCGCGAGTAACTTAGAGGGGCAGAGTAGATCAATAGACAGGAAGGAAATATTTCATACATTAAAAAAGATTATTTTTTATGAATAAGCCAACAATTCGAACCAAACCTATGATGGCATTTGATATGGAAACTTTGCAAATGATGACTAAAAGACAATTGACCAATAATTTTAGAAACAAATAATTAATGATAAATTATAAAATAATAAGAGAATAGAATGCGGAATGAAGTATTAACGACGGTGTGTTGGAAGGACAAACCTAATAAGTTTGCGAAGATTAAAACCAGGGGAAACAATTGTTGAGGTGGGATAATGACCGAACCAGAATGTTTGGTTGCTGCCTTGCGCCTTGGTAGCGAAGGTAGAAAGAGATCTCGACAAGTCCTGTCAAAATCAATACATTAAAACTACCTCGAGCACAAGTACACGAATTACATTAACTCACTAATTACCCTTGTTATTAAGCCGAAGAAATTGAATGGACGTTTCAAACCGGGGGTAGGACATGCGTCCATACCAATGAACGTGTAAGTACCGAATGATTTTCGATGAGTTATCATGTAAGAGTGCGTGAAGTTATGACCAGAAATTGAATATTTCCTAAGAAAATTAAAAATGGAATATAAAGTAAGTCCAATTTGTAGACAATGTGGATTCATACCTGAAAAGGTTTTCGGGGTACTCAACGGAAGGTACATTAAAATTATCTAAAAGAGTTTAATTAAGATAAAGGCAACGAACCATGGTTTCCACGAAGATCTAACCAAATAGTATGGTTATTTACACCAGATTCCTTAATTATTTGGCTATACGCAATCCATTCCTCTTTAAATTGTTGAGAGCCTTTAAATTTCGGAAACTTGGAATCTGTTATATCTCCGGAAACAATAACAACATCCGGATGGATAATTTTAATATGTGAATTACACACTTTTCTAAAATCTGGAGTCCTCCCGCTATCCGTAAATTTGCTTAAATGGAGATCTGAAAACTGATTAGTTTAACAATCAAGATAAAAATTACCTGCATGAACCAAAATATTCGATCATTAGTATTGTCGAGGATGCTGCCACCATTTTCTATCCGGAGTGGAAACTTGAGGGCCTCGTTTTGAGAAAAATGACGAATATCCGCGATTTGTAATACCGAATGAATCAAGACGGTAAACGTGAAGATAAGCAATAAAAAACAGAGACGCCCCCTGGTCATTCCTATTGGAGCCTGACCTTGAAGCCAAATCCCGCAACAGATTGATATTTAAAAGACTTGGTAAAACCTTTGAATATAATTTGCCAAATATGTTGTTCTACATGAATTATATTTCAACTTATTATCTTTTTGATCGGTCAAATTTACGCCGGTGTTGTTTTGAGCAAACAGCAATATAGATCACCGGTTTTTGAAACAAAATATTTATTTATGGTAAAATTGGTTAGGCCAAAAGTAGTTTCACTTTATTTCTACTTGATAATGCAGATTAGATACCACGACTTAGACTGAAAATCCTGAATGAACCTATGTCATTATCAAGTAAAATAATAACCACTCTTTTCTCAATAGAGGTAACTGTATTGGATTAACTATGTTTCTTCAAGTACATTCTATCTTAACATTTTATATTGATTATTTCAAATTTTTTTGGTTTTAAAGTTATTCTGGTATTATTTGTATTTATTTTAATGCATTAATAATAATATACATTCCGGCATAATAAATTAAGCCATTCAACTTTACCAGAACACAAGTTCTAATGCAATAAAGACTGTTACCATCAACTTGTAAATATTTTCGAAAACTCCATCATCGTCTACTATACCTCAAATTATTCATCATGAAAATTGATCACCTAGCTAACCATAAATAACACTTAATCTGTAACTTAAAGCTTGTGAAAAACTTGCAGTCAATGATAAGTCANTTTGGTTTTAAAGTTATTCTGGTATTATTTGTATTTATTTTAATGCATTAATAATAATATACATTCCAGCATAATAAATTAAGCCATTCAACTTTACCAGAACACAAATTCTAATGCAATAAAGACTATTACCATCAACTTGTAAATATTTTCGAAAACTCCATCATCGTCTACTATAAATCAAATTATTCATCATGAAAATCGATCACCTAGCTAACCATAAATAACACTTAATCTGTAACTTAAAGCTTGTGAAAAACTTGCAGTCAATGATAAGTCAAAGACAACTGTCGAACCAACGCTGAAATAATAGACTGTGGGCTGTTAAAAGTCTCAAACAGGAAATCAATCACCCGAACAACAACAAGATAAGGCAAACTATTTTCAGTGTACACTAATTTGATGCACCTCACTATGGCCTCCTTGATGCAGTCCCTTGGAATAATCCTATTCCACTCACCCTAACTCACCTCTCGCGGTGTATCCTTCATTTCTTATATATTACAGGCCAATATTACAGCCCAAATGAAGCCATTCTTCGTGATCTTTCTGTTTCCATAATTAACTATGAGAAAGATAACTTAGGTAACTTTGTAAGTCTTATATTTCTCGCTTATCATGCTATAAAAATAAATAAGGATACGTCAAGTTTCATTTGAGTAGCATTGCGCTACTAAATATACATATATATTTCACAAGTGGTGTGGCGACCAGTGTGAAGCTCATAAGCCCTCACTCGTCCTACTTATTATTACTTAGTAGTACTTCCCACAAGTTCCTTTGCAGAGCACCTGCTCGCAACTATGAGAGTAACTTTTTAATTTGCTGAATTTCAACAATAGTCAATAACTTGCCTTTTGGCAAGTGTATTAGCAGTTAAAGTGCCCCAAGACTTTCATTTGGCGTTTCACGCGCTCATTCTTACGACCTATGAATTAGAGAATTTGTAAGTTTATGATAAAAGAAGTAAAGAATTTAGAACTCCAGAATGTTTTGTAAGTTGGCCCCATCGACACCATTAATATACCACTAATGCAATTTAAATATTGTGAAATGCCTCCAGTGTTGTTGTGGTAATACATGTGGCAAGTGGCCTCAACAAAATTTTGTGTAATTCTCGCTGACCTTAACTCGGAAATGGAGCCACACAAGAGCCACAGTGTGTGCGTGTGTGTGTGTGGAAATTGAAATCTGATGAAATGAAATGACTGCTTCAGTCGCCTGTGACAGTCGCCTCTGCTTCAGAACTCATTTCCTTCACTTCCTTCCTAGTTGGATATCACACTGAATGAGTAGGCATGATTTGTGATTGAGGATGGACAATTTGCAGTGTGTAGCAAATGAACACAGGCTCTCGTTTTTCACTGTTGCACAATTAATGGCAACATGGGTGGAGATGGAAGGTTAAGTCAATATTGACCTGCTCTCTCTCACACACACATCAAGTGGGGNGGGTGTAGTAATGAACTTCGAGGTCAAGTGCCAAAGAAAACGGGAAAAATTCAATTGATATTTCTTGAAATATTTAAAACGTGTTTTTTCCTGAATTTATGTTCTCACTACAAGTCGACATATATATTTTTGTGTAAATTGAGCGCCTTTTCTGAAAAGAAATCCTTTGTGGCAAAACACTTTAATGACTTGATTGCCTTGAAGTGGTCACAAACTTATTTACTTGTGAAGGCAAACCGATTTCAAGAGAGGTTTACAAGAAGATGGATAGACGACTTGCCAAACACCTTTCCGGATTCATATCTGTCTTGCACCATGGGTAGTTACCGAGTTGTGCGTATCAACAGAGGGGGCGAGTGCTGAGACAGCAAGTTGTGTCTCCAGTTGAAGTGTTAACCAACACATTTTGCTTCGGTTTCTGACTCCGGACATTCACCTTCCCTCATGACGAAGCGAATGCTCACCGAGACAAGATCCAGCGCACTTTCCGGGCAACTGCTCGCTACCTGCTTAGCTGCCAATCACTTTCTAAAGCACAAATACTCCAGCCCAACCCCCCACACTGAAGACACCATCTACTCTTCCACTCTCCACCCTCAGGCTCCATCCCCGAGATAATCGTAGCACCATCTTTCCCTCACAACTTGTGGAGCATGTGCAGCAAACAAATGCCGATCATTTCTCCACCTTCTAGGTACATGGCAGTGCTCTAGATGGAAAGCACTGTGGAGTGCACAACACGACTAACACCGCTAACAGCGTTAAGCAATCACCGATCTTCACTCTCTACCTTTTTCTCCTCTCCCTACCGTAAACGTTGACAAGCTAGCTGCGGAGACAACCAATGTGCATTAGATGACTCTTCCAGAGGCCAGTTGATTAGGGTTAATTGCTTTGTGTGGAAACTACCACACATGCAACCATTTCACCACTTCTTGAATATTTTCCAATAATTCACTCTCGCAGACACCACTTTACTGCGAATGAACTCTGTTCTTGAAGTTGAGCATAGAAATTAAAAAGTGTGCATGAGATCACATGAGCAAATTGCCGTTGCCGACGAAATATTTACCAGTCGACAGGTCAAGCATCTCAATAATACAAGCGCTCAATTAATCACAGTCACAATTTAAGTAAACAACAAAATGCCATTTTTTCGCATTACCAAGAAATGTAGTGTTACAATATTAAGAAGCAGCTCTAATCAAAGTTAGAAGATTTCACGTCTTTTGAGCAGTCAAGTTGAAATACTCAGTAGAGAGAAGTGGCTGGAATGACCACAATCCATTCACAAACTCAAACAATTCATATTGAGAACGTGGACTACTCAACAGAGTTGGCATCTTGACATGCCGCAGGAGTTGGTATGGAAAGATCTGTTGCTTATCTCTGTTAGAAAGCATTTCCTTTTTTTAGTGAGAAACACTTTCAAGTGAGGAGATTCATGTGTTACCTGTTTACCACATTAAGTTATCATTCGCACACACACACTCCATAACCGACCCCCTCCCCCTAATTATGACAAATAAGCCAATAAGTGGACTTCCAAAGCTAATATATCTTCGTGAATTGTTTTAAATGCCACCGAGACTTCGTAAATGAATACCACATTATTAGGGGTAAAGTGATGAGACTACTGGCACCTGTCTAATGCGCCAATAGTCTTCATTTGAGGAGTTGTGCAAGATTAACCTTGGCCTCTCCTACAGCCCAACAGATGCATCACTCATCGAAAGACTACATGAACCAACCAAATCCCACATCGACAAGCATATTTAAACAGGGTTGGAAATGGCACAATCTCATGACTTAACTTGGCAATAAGATGACACGCCAAGCTGCTGCAGGAGGAAAGCCCACTGTGAAGGAGAAGCTTTGGGGCAAGCCCTACTTCCTGCTCCACACGATAACTGACATCATCACAGCAGTAAGAGGAGAATGTTGCGAATACTAATGACTAACTTCTTTCTCTTAGATTTTGGCCGCAATAACGATCATATGCGGCGCATACGGCTTTGTTACTTCTGATAGCAATGACAAATTACTCCTCATTTATGAAGTATTGATTGGTTTTGGCATTCTTGCATCGATCACGTTCTTATTGAGCCTTATCCTCTTACACATTCCAAATTACGTCCTCTCTGCCATTGTAAGTACCTCTAATTCGTCAATTTACTCCTCTTAGAACATTTGTCTGATTACCCTGCTAATGATTGCGGCGATTGTGCTTGGAATCCTGGTGGTGGCAAAAATCGATCAGCTCGCAATTGGCATCAGCATGATCGCCTTGGGCGTAGTTGCGTTGGCACTACTTGCTGGAGTACTATTCATATTCTGGTCGGATTCTGATGCCGCATTGGCCTGAAGACATTCACACAGCACAATTTGTTATTCTCCATGAAATATTCATTAAAATTCTTAGCTAATGAAAGTGGTTATCGATTCTTAATAAAAATTGAATGACGTTTTCCCTTAATTGTAAAATTTAAACTTCTCCTTTCTTTGAAACACTCCGTTGGTTATTGGCAAAGTTCTTACTCAACCACATAAAATTCTTCGATCCTATTTAACCGAGTTGGCAATGCCTATAATGCATTTAGAATCATTTCAAGTTGAGCTAAATGCATTCAAGCCGAATTCCATGTTAAATAATAATTGCAGTGAGAATTACCAATGTTGTAGCATTAAATATATTCAATTGACAACTATTTGGTAGAAATGGCATAAAATGAAGGTCTGTGAGATGGTTAAAGTAGTCAATGTTGTCACACCAATTGATTTTCATCTAGCACTTGTATTCGTACGCTTTTGTCAGTGAATACAATTGGTTCACCAATTTTGGGCGAGCAACTACGTCTTAGACTTAGATCAATTTAAACTAGAATTATGCTCCAACATGATTTGGACCATTTCGCAAAATGAAATAGTACCAGTCACAGGGGCTATAAAATACCCCCCAATTAACCCGCAAATAAACCCTCAGTACCTTCATTACTTGCCTGTTATTGGTCCACCCACACTCTCATTATTCCCATGGTTACCATAGACGAAAAAGATGTGAAATCGTGTAACCACCTCTATGCATCTCACTCCACTTGCTTCGCACTACACCGATTGTGTATTCTGTCGATGTTTCCCAGCTTNCCCCCCCCCCCCTGTGAAGTCCCAAGTGAGCTTTATGGCTAATGATAACCATCAAAACGCCTGCAATTTGAAATTAATAAATTACACTACTAAATTTTTATCAGTAAATGAGCGTTTCGTTGAAAATATGTGATGTGAAATTAGTTTCTTGCCTATTTACTCTTGCAAAGTGAATATGTCTTCTAAACTCTTTGTTATTTAATTATTCCACTCTTTCATCACACAGCAAACTAGAACACATAAACTATCAATGCATTTCTGAATTAAGTCTTAATAAAATAACCTCAATCAACAGTACTGCAATTATAATAAGTATTATTCTACGATGAGTCATAAACCATCTATGCAAATTGAACCATAGGCTCGACTTTAGATGCCGACTTTCTCTAGGATGAACAGAAGTGCGCAGACTTGCCACTTTCCTTTCCAGGGGAAGGAGAAAAATGCCCCAATTGATGGTCAAACCACACACATTTTGATGAATCGTCCTATACGTTTGTAAGTCCCGAGTTAATGCTTTCCTCCTGGAACGAGGTAACAAATTATGACCAAAATCATCGCCATCACCACTATCACCGTCGTTGTCATATAGCTACGTCAGAATGTGAAAGAATGGAATAGATGAAAGTGAAAGAAAGGTTTAGAATTTGAACTCATGCAGCAAATTTGATAAGGCAGTGGTGTCACCTTCACATTAATTAATTACTATTTATATCAAATGGCAGGCGTTTTGATAGTTATCAATAGCCCTGGAGCTGATTTCGGGGCCTCACAGAGAGGAGGAGGAACATTAAAGTGACAAAAAGTCGAGATGGGAGACAGAATAATGATTCACAGAGGTAAAAGAGACAGACAGACACAAAGGCATAAAAAGGCAAGATGAGTACTGTGGAAGGGGTCGAATATGACAAATAGTTGGGCCATAGTAGTTTGAAGTCAGAAGTCAACTGCCGGTTTGATAGACTTTTTTGCCGGGTGCACCACGTGGAGGTAAGTCTATTGCGCACCCCTTAATTAATTACTATCTCCCTTTAAGCCCTTGCTCTCATATCGGACTACCATAGACTTCCATTGTTAAGTCCCTTTCCCTACAATAGAGAACGAGACATCTTTTTCAGTCGTGAAGAGTTTATAAATATATATATTCTTCTTGTCCAACAAAATCCGAAGTCCATTTGTCAAAATGACCAATCAGAAAAGTTGAGGTACACCTGAATGCCACTTTGTTACCTTCAAATCTGAGTGCAGCATTCTTCTCAGCTCCCCCTTGTCAACATTTCCTTCAGGTTTCCCTCATCCTCTAGCAATTTGTGTGCATTGGTTGACATTGCCCTTAGAAGTGGTTATTTGATGGAGACATGACGTGACAATTATTGTTGAAGCTGGCTATGCAAAGTCTACGAAATCTTCACTTGAACTCTGCAAAGAGCCCGGGAATAAAATAGGAGCAAAAAAGAAAGTGGATGGGCAGAGAGCTCAGTGGAGTGACGAGGGTTACCCTACTGGTTTATAACATTCATTCGAAATTTAAAGATTTGCGAGGCTAGCAATAAAAGTTGAGATGGTTCAGTGGTGTACGAGCAGACTTGTGGCACTGAGAGCTTGCTGTGCATGAGAAATGTGGCTGTGTGTGTGTGAGTTCAGTCCACTCACTCATACCCTATCATTAGTGAGGTGCCATGCGGTTGCAACCTGCTGTTTTGCCTTCGGGTTCTCTTAGATAATTACACGTTGGGGGGGGGATGGGGGGGGTGGGGTTGTAAAGAATATTCCAATTGGCCATGGAATGTAAACTCTCTGATGCGAGTGTTTTGGGAGTTAGATCGATTACTACTTAGATAGCAAACATGTTTGGGTGAACTTGTAGAGGGGGCGGGAATTCCTCCCAACTAGATCGGATGCTTGGTAGTAAACAAATGGCTGGGGGGGGGGAGGTAGGGGGGGAATGTAGCATTTGATACTGCGCGCATGTGTGTCTGCAATTAGTAATTGGCATATTCTGAGTTCCCAACTTAACTGAACCCCTTCCAAGTCTTTGAACTATTCACACAGGTTGATTTTACCGCCAAAGACCTCGATTGTCAACTACTGGGGACGATTTAATTTGCCAGTAAATAAGTAACTAAATCCGTTGATTTTATGGCATTGAATGATGCGATATATTTATTAATACAGAGGAGTAATTTGAGTTCAAACTGAATAGAGTCAAGAATGGTTATATTATAATTTCCCCTTCTAAGTGGTCTTATTCTCTAAACTTTCAATGTTTGCAAGCATATCGTTCTTCAGCCATCCTCGCCATGCTACATGTGTTAACATTTATTTATTTATTTCAAATGGCAGGCGTTATGATAGGTATC